ATTCAGACAAGCGAGTGTCATAATTATATGCTTCAATCCGAGTTTTAATTTCTGGGAAAACCATGTTCTGCTGACTTTTATTGATAGACAAACTAATCTCCTTGCAAAGGCACAGATGTTTTCAAGTTACAAGCATCATAAAACTGTTACAGTGTTTGATAGATAGATAGATAGATAGATAGATAGATAGATAGATAGATAGATAGATAGATAGATAATAGATAGATAGATAGATAGATAGATAGATAGATAGATAGATAGATAGATAGATAGATAGATAGATAGATAGATAGATAGATAGATAGATAGATTGATTGATTGATTGATTGAAATCTTTATTTAAACACGGTGGTTTTATCAAATGGAATAAATAATAATTATTTACAATTCGTTCTTCCTAAAAGCCGTGTATAATTTACGATATACGTGCATTTCTTACATTTTTTTTGAATTTTTGAAAGAAAAGAAACTATTTACAATTATTCATAGAATAATAACTGACTATGTTTGTGCAGATAGCAGATGTTCTAATCTATATATGAACCTTTTTAATGAAGCCTCGTGTTTAAGTTCGTCTAGTAAAGAATTCCATAGCTTTGCTCCAGTGAAAGCAAAACTTGAATTATAATAATCTGTTCGATTTACGGGAAGCTCGAAATTTAATTTGGATTGACGAAGGCTATAATATTTTAAGCTACTATGAAATGTAAACATTTCCGTTAAATATTCCGGTGCAAGAGCATGTACTACAGTATTTTATACATCATAATAGCTCAGTTTTGTTTTTCTCGAATTTCTTTTATATTCATCCAGTTTAATTCCGCCAAAATCAACGAAGATGATTTTAATAAGAGATAGATAGATAGATAGATAGATAGATAGATAGATAGATAGATAGATAGATAGATAGATTGTTTAATAATTCACTTTTTGCAGTACAAATACTGAATTGGTAAGCGATTACAATATAAATAAGACTGAATACAAATTATATTACATTTAAAAAATTACAACCTATGCTATGGCTTACTAGGAAATTATAAATATTAAAACTAACACTAATTTATGTGTTTGCGATGTTACTCTGAGTGCATTTCCACACCGGGCGAGCTTGAAATATTATGCCCGGCCACGGTGGGATTCGAACATACGACCTTTCGAATACTAGCCCAATGCTCTTCCAACTGAGCTACGCGGTCAGGACGGTTCGAATAAGTGATATTTCGGAACAGTATCTAATTCCTTCAATACCAATGTGTTCTATTAATATGATTTTTTTTGTGTTGGTGTTGTGTACTCAGGTGAATAATATGTTTGCGATGTTACCCTGAGTGCATATCCACACCGGGCGAGCTTGAAAAATATGCCCGGCCACGGTGGGATTCGAACCTACGACCTTTGGAATACTAGCCCAATGCTCTTCCAGCTGAGCTACGCGGTCAGGACGGTTCGAGTAAGTGATATTTCGGAACAGTATCTAGTTCCTTAATAATAATAATACACAGAATTTCTATAGCGCCAAATCTACAGTTCTCTAAGGCGCTTTACATTCATACCACATTAAAAATATGGACAAAACCTAATTTACTAGTAAAAAAGTTTAAAAAGTTTACAAATGTGACCTAGACCTAATTTACTTATAAGAAAGTTCAAAAAAGTGCGTTTTTAAACGTCTTTTAAAAATGCTAAAACTCGTCTCAAGTCTCAAGCT